ATCTAGCACAGTATTTGTAAATGAAGATGCCATTTTATAACTGTCTAGGGATTCTAATGTCTGATCAATCTTCTAATCCTTTAATGGGTCACGATAAGCCTATGACTTTCAAGTTTATGATATGCTGGCATTAGAAGTTTCAACTTGCTGGAAAACTAAAGACAATATTGTTCAGTTGTGGTGACATGATAGCAGTCCATAAGAAGAAATTAGGAGGCTGTGTAGGTGCTTTACTCTGGAAATCTCTGTTGCAATCATTGTGCTATTCAATCAGCTGGTCCCTGCATGATTATGCCTTTCCCACTATCAATACTGTAATGATAATCTAGTCTAGCCTTCTGATTTCCAAATTGGACTGCATTAGTTCCAATAGTTTTTAAAAAATATCCAAAGATTGAATATGCAATGAAATTTTAACTCACAAGTCTAATGAGTGGAGTAGCTTGTTAAAGATGCATATTATATATATATATATATATATATATGCTGATTCCAGCAGAGTAACTCAGGCCTGAGATGCTTGTGATATTTGTTCCCTGGTGAAATCTTGTTGCATGAGGTGATTATTGTTGGCACAGCATTTACACAATTTAACACTAATTTGTGTCTAATATGTCGATTGTTGTGGTTATATATTGAGACCTTCTAAAGTTATCTGTTGTGCACTTGCAAAAACTTGGTTAATTGATGATCTAGGGCTACCTTTGGTTGTTGGATGACAGTTTTTGGAATGCAAAGCCTGCTTCTTCATTATGTACTTGCCAGGTTTGTGGTTTATTCTTGGATATATCTCATCGTGACCTTGCACTCTAAAGTACTTATTCTATTTAGTGATACTATTATTTGCTGGATCATCAAGTCTTGTAGCTTGTTGGCTCTAATGTATTTGTGCCATGCATTTGGGAAAGTAAATTTAGATGGTGGTAGATTTAAATAAACTACATGTGTAGTTCATAAGGAGCCATGTTGTATGTGTTGGGTTTAGGATTTGCCATCATTGATAAAGCTCAATGCAGTGGTTTCGAAAAAAAGTTGTGGTTAGATAAGTTTTTTCTGGTGTTAGATTTTGGGCATATAGGACAAGTGTGTTGGGATGTGAATTGTTGAGTAGCTTTGCTATGAAACTAAGCCAGTTTCCTCGAAAAGTTTAGTTCAATAAGGACTAATACCAATTAATGTGCTGAAAACAAGAAGAGTTAGTTGAACCTTGGTTAGAAAATACTAGAGGACTCAAAACAGCTGTGATTCTAAATGGACTGGTACTTCTTTGTTAATCCATGTTAACTCTTAAGACTTTTTCCCCATGCTATGCAAGTATTATAGATTTTCTAGAATTTTTTATTAGGCAAAATTAATTTCAGTAGAACTATTCGTTAGATAATTTTAGTTTTAATAGAATTTATATTTTGATAGTTAGTAGAACTTTTGGTTAAGCAGTTTTACTTTCAGTCAAATTTTTAATTATGCAGATCGATTTTTAATTAAGACAATTTTAGTCTCAATAGATTTTTTAATTAATTTCAGTTGAATATTTAATTAGAAAATTTACAGAACTTTTAATCAGACAATTTTAATGGTAATAAATTTTTTGATTAGATAGTTTTAACTTTGTAAAATTTTTAATTAGAAACGTATCAGAAATTTTTAGTTAGATGGTTTTAGTTTGATATTCCAATTAGAGAGTGGAATTTTTTTTTGAAATAAATCATTAGATGGTAGAATTTTGAGCTAGAAAGTTTTAGTTCAGTAAAATCTTCTTTTTTGGAAATAAAAATAGTATGATGTGATTCATTCACATGCACCAAGAGGGGTGCAAACCCATATAGAAAGTTATTTACATATTGATTATAATGTCAATAAGGTCCCCGAAATCCTTAGACGAAGAGAGAATGACCCATAATCAAAAGACCTAGGGTCTAAAACTATTTATCTTTAACCATATCAAAATCATCTTCTACGCCCTTAAAAACTCTCTTGTTTCTCTCTTTCCACAACACCCAAAAGGTAGTGAGTGGAATGAGACTAACATGTTTCTTTACCCCATTGATGCTTTTTCACGCCCAAATTTCTTCTCTCACCAAACAAGCCCTCGCCCAATTGATATCCAAGAGTCCACATGCAAGGGTCCACTATTTATACACAAAAGGACACTATACAAGGATATAATTACATGATCTGCCTCCTTTTAGCATAAGAAACTCCCATTCAGCAAAATCCTCCCCTTTATGATCAGCTTGTCAATAGTTAGAATATAGCTTCTACCTGCCTCCCACGCAGAAAAAAAAAAAAGCAACTCTAGGATGGAGTATTAACCTTCTAGATTTGTTGAAAGGGAAAGTTGGTATCTGTGGCTTCTCTTTTAGTCAAATGATTGTAGAAAGATCTGACCGAGAAAGTTCCCGTAGTATTGAGCCTCCAAATTGGTTGATCTTAACTCTAACAAGGGTTATGAGAAGGGCCTCATATACTCTTAACGTCCTATTCATTGAGATTTCTTGTAATCTCCATATTCACTCTCCTTTCCCCACATTGCATTGTAAGACTCGCGAATGGAGATATGTGCGAGCAATAGCATAGACCTGATGGAACTGTTCTGTAAGTGTCCCACCCTCCAACTAGGCATCATGCTATAAGTTGATCTTATCCCCAGTACCCACCCTCCAGCTGATGCAATTTTGGAAGTTACTAATGCTTATGCATATTTTTTTCCACAACCCTTCCCATGGGGTCTAGACGAGAGCCTGAAATGCCACCCTCTATCCATGGTTGCAAACTTCATCTTGATCACCCTCTGCCAGAGACTACTATTTTCATTCATGAATCTCGTTGACTGTTTCTGTTGAACAGCCATATTAACCTCCATCAAAGATCTCAACCCTAACAGCCTTGATGTGTAGGCTTTTCAACCTCATCCATGCTATAAGATGATACTTTTTTCTGTCTTCCGTTGTCTCATAGGAATCTATATTGAATGGATTCTAGTTTGTTGGCCACACTCGCATGGATTGTCAACAAGGACATAATAAATGGGATGTAGGTCATCGCGCTCTTAATAAGTGAGTCTCCCCCCTTTTGGATGAAAGGTTCCAATTCATCCAACCAAACTTTTCTCAAGCCTTGCTACCACAAGGTCCCAAGGCACCACATCTTTATATTTAGCCCCTAATGGAAGCCCCAAATATTTTGATCGTTAGTCATTTCAGTAGGCAGGTAATAGAATTCTGACACGTCTTCCTGGTTGTTATTTTTAGTAACAGATAACTATGATTGATGGTTTTTCGGTGAATATGTTTAGCGCAATTGATTAATGAAATGTCCTGAAGTTGGGGTTAGCTGGTTGTTGCAATTTAGTAAGTCAAAGATGGGTAAACGCCACAACAAGAAAGAAATAGTAGAGCTTTTAAGGGCTTAGAATTATTATTAATCAGGTCATGTACACTCTCCTGGTTGATATTTTGAAGGATATGTAAGGTTTTTTGTACGTAGGTTGCACCTCAAGATGCTGTAGGATTTGCGGAATATGACACATGAAAGGATTGACTAGGAAGGATGTCTCACGTGTCCGAACATGACATTTTTATTTTCAGGCTTAGTTCTTCGAAGACATCAGGAGTACTGGACAAACAAAAAAAAGGAGGTTATCGATATATAGGATTACAAGTTCTATTCATAGATAATGGAGTTCTTTGATTACCATTTGTTCTCTTTGGTTTTGGTTGTCTGTTTTCTTATTGTTTCTTAATTTAACTTCTTTGGATGCTAACGCATTGTCCAAGTTCTTTTTACCTGTGTGCAAGGTATAGATGACAAAGCTTCTTTCTTGTTGGAATTATTCCTTGTTGCCAAGAGCTTAGGGGAGGGTTTAGTATCAATAATGGCCCCAACTGATGTTTGTGAAATATCTCGGAACAGGCTAACGTTAACTGACTGCTTTGTATTCCGACTATATATTAAATTTAGCTTACAACATTAATGATAAGCACTAATTTTTTTTTTAAACTCTCAGATCAGATTTTTTGATAAGTTTTGTTTTTTTAAATATTAACATCTAACAGTTCAAAAAAATTTACTACTCAGATAGGTAAATGTAGTGAATTGTGAGTTTATTGTACTTTTCTTTATTTCCCTGGCTAGGCATTTTCAGAAATCATGAAGAAAATTGACATGGTGGTGTAGATGTTTTAATCTGTTATTTACAGGCTGATTCAGTCCAAACTTTTGTTGTTGAATTGGTAATTTTTCAAAATATTTGGTGCATTTCGGTATGCATGTTACAGAAATTGGTAACTTCAGTTCAGTTTTATAATGACTTTTGCATTACTTTTTAATATAAGCCACATACCACAGAAAAATGTATTTTGTTTATTATGTTAATGGAATGTGAAGTTATTTTTTAATTTTAATTTTAATTTTTGGTTTTTATACTTAAATAATTAGTCAACTAAGTAAAATTTTCAAAAAAAAAAAAAAAAACCCAGCATTTATACTGGGTCAAATGTTTTATGCTATGTATTTGTGATTATTAGTTAATAGCAGCTCAAGTTGCAATTAGAAAATTTCCAACTCTAATGTGCATGTTAATTTTAATTTTATTTCAAGTTTATATATTTCATGTTGTTTTTTTTTACTCTGGGAACATATTTACAAATAATGTTATATCTAAAAAGGAAATTATATATATATATATATTATATTATATATTTTAAAACATATTTGAAAAGCCAAGTATGAGGATGTGAATGGGTTGGGAGCTTCCTGAGGGGGGCCTACATCTTAAACCGATACTTTCTGCTTTCTAACATTCAGTGGAGAAGGAAAGTGGCACGTGATGTTGCCAAGGGCATATCTGTATTTTCAATTTATAATAATCTATTTTTGGTTTTTTTTTTTTTTTTAATATAAATACTTTTAAAAATTATTATTTATATGTATACTATATATTTAATTTGGGAGGAAATGAAATTATTTTATTAAACGTATACTCGAGCCTTATTATTATTATTACTTTTGAAAAGTATAATTTGTGGTGGTGTGATGTTCAAAATAATAACAAAATTTTCAAAACAAAAAAAATAAATTTAAAACAGCGTAATTTTAAACGAAAACGATATATTACTATAATTAAAAATAAATTGACGGAAGATCAAGAAATTCAAAACGGTCAGTTACATCCAGCTGTACCCCACCAAATTTTTGAATTTCAAATTCTAAACTTGCATATTACCCTCTCTTTCATTTATAACCGTTGATTTAAAACTATTCATTACTCGCATCAAGGAAGAAAAATACAAAACACTAAAAAACCTCTCCTCCTCGTCTCTCCGCTTCTCCCTATAAAGCAATCCCTCTTTTCTTTACCCTAGTTTCACTTTTGCCTTCCTTCGTTTCTCGTCTTCTTCTTCTTCTTCTTCTTATTCTTCTTCTCTGAAACTACTCTTGTCTTTTTCTCTGCTTTTCAAAGGAGCGACGACATGCGTGAAATCCTTCACATCCAAGGAGGCCAATGCGGCAACCAAATCGGTGCCAAGTTCTGGGAAGTTGTCTGTGCCGAGCACGGCATAGACCCCACCGGACGTTACCAGGGAGACTCGGATCTCCAACTCGAGAGGGTTAATGTTTACTACAATGAAGCCAGTTGTGGGAGGTTTGTTCCTCGTGCCGTTCTCATGGACTTGGAGCCTGGCACGATGGACAGCGTTAGGTCCGGAACTTACGGCCAGATCTTTCGCCCGGATAACTTCGTTTTCGGACAGTCTGGCGCCGGAAACAACTGGGCTAAAGGTCATTACACGGAAGGGGCCGAGTTGATTGATTCTGTCCTCGATGTCGTCCGCAAAGAGGCCGAGAACTGTGACTGCTTGCAAGGTGTGTTTCTATGGATCCAGAAACTTGGCTCTTTTTAAAATCTTTCTTTTTGTTTTCTCTTTCTTTTTTGCCTTCTTAATTTTGATTTGAAACGGTTTTTGTTTGGTTTTTTCTTTTTTCAGGGTTTCAAGTGTGCCACTCCTTGGGAGGTGGAACTGGGTCTGGGATGGGGACCCTTTTGATATCGAAGATTAGGGAAGAGTACCCAGATCGAATGATGTTGACTTTCTCGGTGTTCCCGTCTCCTAAGGTCTCTGATACGGTTGTTGAGCCTTACAATGCTACTTTATCTGTTCACCAGCTTGTTGAAAACGCGGATGAGTGCATGGTGCTCGACAATGAGGCCTTATATGACATTTGTTTCCGGACATTAAAGCTTACTACTCCTAGCTGTAAGTCCCTGCTGGGTTTGTCCTAGTTGTTATGATTCAAAGCTTACATCTTTGGGATTGTTTTTTAGTTAAATATTGAATTTTCCATGGTGGGGTTTTTTTTTTGTGATTAATAAGATTTCCCTAAGTTTTCATGTATGCTAAATTAATTTGATTGATTTGACTTGCAATTAGTTCTAATATGTTTGGTTGAGCAATCCTAGATTTATATATTGTGATTCTTGTTTAGGGCCTTTTGAGCAATCCTAGATTGATATAAGAAATGTGTTTTATTATTCTTGTACGAGGCCTTTAAGAACTAATCAAGGGACTTTCTTTGCGGCCGTTAATGCTTGATGTGATCAGAGCATGTTTTTGATCCGTAAGAACTAGGATTGACAGAGGGCTTTTTCTTCTTTTTATATGTTATGCAGTATGTATAAAAATGAGGGGTGATTTGAATTTGTTGAGCTATACAGAAATGTGATTTATTAACCATGTCCTATTCCTTTTTTGGCTTTGACAGTTGGTGATTTGAATCACTTGATATCTGCAACAATGTCTGGGGTAACATGCTGCTTAAGATTCCCCGGGCAGTTAAATTCTGATCTCCGGAAACTTGCTGTGAATCTCATCCCATTCCCACGTCTCCACTTCTTCATGGTGGGTTTTGCTCCTCTCACCTCGCGAGGCTCTCAACAGTACCGAGCTCTGACAGTTCCTGAGCTGACCCAGCAAATGTGGGATGCCAAGAACATGATGTGTGCAGCTGATCCAAGACATGGCCGATACCTAACAGCCTCTGCCATGTTCCGAGGCAAGATGAGCACCAAGGAAGTAGACGAGCAAATGCTTAACGTCCAGAACAAGAACTCTTCTTACTTTGTCGAGTGGATTCCCCACAATGTGAAATCAACCGTCTGTGACATCCCACCTACTGGTCTTAAGATGGCATCAACCTTCATCGGAAACTCCACCTCTATCCAGGAAATGTTCCGGCGGGTGAGTGAGCAATTCACTGCCATGTTTAGGAGGAAAGCTTTCTTGCATTGGTACACAGGAGAAGGAATGGATGAGATGGAGTTTACTGAGGCTGAGAGCAACATGAATGATTTGGTTTCGGAGTATCAGCAGTATCAAGATGCGACTGCAGACGAGGATGATTATGAGGAAGAAGAAGCAGAGTATCAGGAAGAAGGCTATTAAAGGGAGGTTGCTATTGGGAAGGAGCATTAACCTCAACTTCCAGTTGCTGGTTGTTTTAGTTTTAAGGATGTAAAAGAATGGTACTTTTGTTATCTTTGACGGACAGCTTTGAATTTAGCTTTTAAAACTTGTTGAATGTAAGGAAATTTTATATCTAGTCTTTCCCCTTTTTCAATTGCAAGGTTTGCTGGTTCTATCTGGAATTATATGATTGTAGTGAAGCATGTTCATTCTGTAAGAGCATCAGAGATAGAGCATATCAAACATGGTTCTCTCTGAATTTCAACGATGCATGCAACCATATTATTGCTAGATTTTAGAACTGGAAATTTTTTGGTTGCAACTGGTTTTGATCAATCTATTTTTCGATTGCTTGTTTGCTTAAAAGTTTTAAACACAATGTACTTTCAGAAACGCCAAAAGATAATTTGTCTGCTGCATTTTGAAAATTGTAACATAATTAAATAAATAAATAAAAATTAAATTTTGGATCGGTTAATTTATTTTCAGAATTTGCTTAATATTCAAAATAAGTTAAATTATCATGTATTTTATTTTAATAATGGTATTAGTGAATTTAAATTGATATTTAAATACGATTTTAACGGTGATAGATATACAACCTTATAATTTAAAAAATAAAATAAAAAAAACCTAAACGAAAACTTCAACGGCGTCGTTTAGGTCAGAGGCAGATCATTTTCCCTACTCGTTTCTTCTCTGTTGCGTCTCCTACATTGAGACTTGTGCAGGGGGAGAATCCATACTAGGACGAAGGTGCTGAAGAAAGCCGAACAGCGTACCTAAACAAAGGGAAGAAAAAGGGGGAGCTCAGAAATGGCAACGAGTCTCTCAAGTAGAGCAGCTACTTCGCCAAGCCAAACCCTTGGTCTCTTCAGACTCTCATTCAACTTCCTGCGGAGCTTGTCCACTTCTTCTCCTTCCACGAAAAATCCTAGTGCCACCTCCACGGATTCCAATAAGCGCAGGCGAAGAAAGAAGAAAAACCTTTTCGAGGTCGCTCAGTTCCTGCCCAACTGGGGCCTCGGTTATCACATGGCTAAAACTCACTGGACAGGAGTTTCGTACGAGATCACCAAGATCAACCTTTACAAGGTCTTCTCTCTCTCTCATTCACACGTTTCCTTCCCTCTCTGTTTTGGGTGTTATTTCTGTTTGTTGTTATGTCTGTTTGGTTTCTGAGGAAATTTTGGAATTGGAAAGAAATTTACCACGTCGCTGTTTTGATTTCTGGTTATTTTTAGTAAATTTTGTGAGGGGTTGGAGTTAGGGGATTGGCTGTAATAGCTTCTATTGCAAAAAGCGTCTGATGATTAAATGTCTTTGTTATTTTTATGGTTGATTTTTTTCTTTTTAGGGTTTAAGGTTGTAGGGTTTATGCGGTTTGTTTTCTGGCAGGATGGAAGGCATGGAAAGGCATGGGGGCTTGTGCACAAAGACGGTCAGCATTCTTCATTTTCTCAATTTATTGTTTGGATTGGTGACTGTTATTTGATTGATGGAGGAATTTTAGCTCCAGCATTGCCCTCCTCTCTGTGTTTTCATTACTGGATAAGGTGGAATTAGTTTTACTGATTCATACTTGGGTTGATGATCCTACATTCTTGGAGTTGTCTATGGACTTTCGATGTTGTTACCTCTTATAGCAGCTGTTAGATTTTCTAGCTAAGCATAGAACTTTCAGTAGCTGTTTGATCTTTAAGTGGTGCAAGCTTCGTCTTCATCTGTATATGTAACTGTGACCTATGGATCATCCAAGGTTTGAACTGTAACCATAAATACACATTTGTAATCCCCATGAGCCGCAAATGTGGCAACCTTGGTGGTGGGTGAAAATTGATAATAAGTTGAGAGGCAGGGAGCTCTCATAGCAACCTTCTGAGGGTAGCATTTAGTAAATCATGATAAGGAAAACCCTTGTTGACATATCCTTTTCTGTCCCCAGGTTCAATCAGAAGAGTGAAATTATTTCTTCTTTTGTTCGTATCAATATTGTGGTTAACTCAGCATGAGTGAAAAGTTCTTGGGTGCATGCCAACTTGCCTATTTGGAGAGTAATTAACATGCATATGCCTTTTGACATCATATCACTATTTTTTTTTTTTTGAGATAAAGATGTATAGTATTATGAACAAGGATACCAAAGGGGTACCACCCATATACAAAAAACTTTATAAGTCAATCAGGAGATCAATGACACTCCCAAAATCTTTGACACCATAACACTATGGAAATAGTTAATAGAATAAGTAAGGTTTCAACCATTCAAGATAGCAAATTTTTCGTACTTCTTGTGAATCTATTTATCCTTCATGGTTCTTGTGTCTTTGAAGAGCAAAATATTGCTCAAGCTAATAATGCTTTTCTGGTGCACATTTGCTATCTCTAATTCACCATCAAGCTTCTAGTGATTATAAGTTCTTTACTCCCTTTTTTTTCCTTCCAAATCTAATTTTTCTCTTTTCCTTTTGTAGCGTGTCAAAAAAAATATTGAATTTCCTGCTAAAGAACATTACTTTTTCTTTACAAAGAAAGGAATATATTAATGAAGGGGAGAAAAGAGCACAAAAGTAGAGAGGATTCAGAGTCCTCAAAAAAGATAAGAAAAAGAAAAAAAAAAAAAAAAAGAGAAAGACCAACTAGTCTTTTGAGAGAATAGCTAGCCGATCTCTATATAATGCAGATAAAGGTAAATCTTTAAAGAAACCATGTGCTTTAATCGAGAGAAGTCAAGAAATATAGGTTACCCCAATGACTCAGAAAGCAGAGTATTGATCCTTGATCATTCTGATGCCTTTGGAACCAAATCACGCTCATCCTACTGAAAAAGAACCCTACACTAGAAAGCTTTAACCTACTTCTTTGTTCTCATACCAAAAAGAATAGAAGGGAGAAAGCCATCAATTTTACGAGGGGAAACTCGAAGACACCCCCAATCCGATGCAATAGATGCCAAGCCATGACCCAGTAGGAAAAGATAATTACAAGACTCAGCAGGTGTAAAACACATAACACAAACACCTATAGGCAGAGTTTGGTTCAGCCTGTGAGCTTGAAGTAGATAATTAGTACACAAGAACTTTAATCTTGGAGGATGTATGGCCTTTCATAAACATTTGTGGAAAGAATTAGTTTGAGAGGCAGGATTACGAGTCAAAAAGCCAAAAGGTATGAATTGCAAGAAAAAAAAACCCTGAAGAATCCAAAGACCATATTCTGCAGTTAGGGAGATTAGAAAAACGCTACAAACTCAAGAACCTGGATTAAATAGACCACATGCTTTCCGATCATTAAGGTTTTTGAAGGAGGAGATGAGATAGTGTTATGGGACAACCTGTTAATGCAAGGTAATTGATAAGGCACAGGAGTCTTGTCAAGTTAAGGTTTCCACTGGAAAAGAAATTAGGAAACATCACCCCCCGCTAATATGTACTTGGAACATTAGTCTTGGAAGTTCATCCATTTTGGCGGAGACCAAAGTTGCTCTTAATAACTTTGTACTACAAAGAGTTGGGTAAAAGGAAATTGCCATGACTGTTTAGGTCGAAAGAAACAGATTTTTGAAATAGAGATTTTCCAATATCAAGACCCTATCAACTTTGGACATACGACACCTCTCCCTATTAAGTAAACGAACTCTTGGAGGACCCATTTTAACCCAACCATAGAAACTTTGCTCATCACCTACTCAAGATTCTATCTCAATCACGTTCTTAGGCTTTTAAACAGAGATAAATGTGCAAGGAAATATAGATAAACGAGAATCAATAAGAGTGACCCTACCCTCAGGGGGAAAAGAGCTACCCTTCCAATTATTTCAAAAAAGAAAAAAGCTACCCTTCCAACAATCCACATGCCTAGATATTTTATGCATCACAGGGTCTCAAAAGGAAGCAACTGCTGGATTACTGGAACACCAGGATAAGTGAAAGGCTACTCTAAGATTTCACAACCGAAAGAATCAACTAGAAACCACCGGACCATTTTCTTTGAGGTTAATACACAAGCCTGGAGATAGCCTCAAACAATACAGGATGGTTAGCACATTATTGAATTTCACGTGATCATACAAAAGGAAGATAATCTTATCATTTGCTTACTGAAGATGGGATTCTGATCTATTAGGGCAGACCCTATAACCTTGGAACAAATCTATCAAAACCTTTAGAAGGCTTTGACTCATAACTTGACAACAATTATGAAGAGAAAAGGAGACAACAAGGGATCCTCTTGTCTCAAACCATTTTTCCCTTCAAATCAGTCTCTTGCTTTGCCATTAACCAAAACAACAAACGCAATTAATGAGTGGCAACTTGAAATCTTGTTTCCCCTTCTGACACTGGAACCTTTCCTCTCCAAGACCTTATTTAGGAAGCCACAATATACTCGATCATGGGCTTTCTCAAAATCTAGTTTGACCAAGTCTTTGTTTCTTGACCTTGTACCTTCCTCTACCATCTTAGTGACAATAAGAGAGGCATTCAAAATTTGTCTATAGATACACCTTGGTGAACAAGATATCATTTCTTCAAGTATCTTCCCTCAACCTTTGAAACAACATTTCAGATGTGATCTTATAAACATTTGTTATTAGATTGTTCGGGTAGTTATCATACATACTGATAGAATAACTTTGCTTAGGGACGAAAGCACTGAAGTCGAATTCATATTGATGCATACCGTACCATTAAGGTGAAGTTCCTTAAAAAATTCAACTAAATCATCCTTGATGATATCTCAACAGTGTTGAAGGAAGGCAATAGTTAAATCTTCACGCTTTGGAGCCTTATTCGCACCAGGGTCCCATACAACTGTTTTGATTTCAGCTTCACCAAATGATCACTCTTCCTATCTAGTTTACTCTCCATTAATCAGACACCAATCAAGACCCCCAGTAAAAGACCAATTGATGTACTCATCCTCATAGAGATTCTTAAAAAGAGTCTGTTATCATGACAACAATGCTGCTGGATTTCTCACCACTCTGTCCCCCTCAAGTTCTACTTTCTTGATGAAACTAGGAATGACAAAACAATCTGTAATCTGCCAAAATTATTTACTCGGATAGAGACTGTTGTGGTTTAAATTGAAACCAAACTGGATCAGGTTGGGTCGGAGCAAGTTTTGGAAACTGTCAACTGGGGCGGTGCACAAGAAAACCACTCGGACCTAACACACTTTCAACAAAACTGAGAGAGAGGATCCTTCAATATTATCAATGAAAGAGGCAATCTTAGTATCCCAAATCACAGGAAGACCCCCTGAAGCCCTTGCAGATAAACTAAAAGACCATCCTTTAAATGTAGAATCCTATATTACAAAAAAGGAGCGAGTTCAGAACATTACCCAAACCATTGATGCTCCAGCTTATGATCTTCATAACAAAATGCCTTACCCTGCAGTTCTTGGGAAGCTGAAATGGATGGTAGAGGCCAATCTTGTAAGTTAAATATTAGCACCATCTTTTCTTTTAACATAAGTCTGGGACACTCTAAACCTCACCTTCCTTCCCAGAAGAATAATTTAATCTGAAGTTCAGTTTCTTAAGGATCTCATCTGGTTTCTCTTTATAAGCATCTGTCTCAATTGACTGTATAGGAATTGAAGGATAGCTGAGTACCTGTCTTTTTGTAGCAAGTGAGATTCTAGGACTTGTTTGATCAACATCCAAGGTAAAGATTCCTCTGACAATGTTGTGGTTCATATTGTCCCCACCTGACGGGCTATTATTTTCAATAGACAATCAAGTAGACAAAGGCGTCGGATTAGGATCTGAAATTGGCCAAACTGAACTGTGTGCAGGAAGGTTATAATCAAGCAAAAGAGGGGAGGCACTCCCTGTTACATTGTCTGTTTCTATGATCCCTGAGAACCTACTACTGGGAGGCTTATCCTTGTGAACCGACCACTTTTACATCACTAGCTTTGGTTTTTGACAAAGTTATTGGTCGTTGGTTTTTGCTCTGTTGGTATGTATTATCACAAGTTGTTGCCCTGTATTCGATTTCTAATCCGGTACCTTTTAATAGTTAACAATATGGTATTTGATGGGAATTTTTCACTGAAAGCTATTTGATGTGAATTATTTAAACTAGTTGGTGTTCTTTCTTGGTCAGGAGTAGTTAGAGCAAATGAATTTATGAAATATATGTTAGTCAACAAAAACTAATGAAACTCCAGAAGCCAAGAGAGGAGTTGTCAAAAATGTGAAAGTGAAGAAGGTTGTGAGAGCACAATGATTTCTAGGTAGTGGCTAAGATACATAGGATGCAAGACTGGTCATGTTTGTGTTTTGTGATTAATGACTGCTCCATATATGAGGTGTAATGTCCAGGTTGGAGGCATGGAATATTGTAGTTTATTGAGGAAACGTTAAAGCAATGCCATGATGGTCTGGTATTCAGGAAGCAAGGGTCATAACCTGCAATTGTGAAGCCTGGAATATTGTAGTCTATGGAGGAAACATAAAGCAGAGATATGATGTTTTGGTATTCAACAGTCATGCATCTCCAATTCTTACATGACACAAAAAGGACGACATTGCTGTCTGTCAATTTTTGTTGAAGTAAATTAGAGCTTCTCAAATTTTCTTGTGACAGAGAACGAACTACTTAATTGTATTTGCTCTTGTGCTCATCTTAGTTTCTTCTAGTTACCACATGAAGGCAGGCTTCGTTGATGTATCTAGCATTTGATGCAGGCTTGCCAGCTGCAGAGTCTCCCAAGAAAATAAGTGGAGTTCACAAACGATGTTGGAGATATATTCCAAGCTTGTCAAAAACAACGGACAGCACCCCGAAGTTAGTAAAACCAGCAGACAGTGCCCCAGCCGCTGAAGTTCAAGCAGCTTGATGTGCCAGTTTCCTGATACTTATATGTTCTGTTTCCTTTGCCTCGGTTCTTATGGATTCCCGAGACATACACCGTTCCCTTTGGCGTGTTAGGGCTCTTGAATCAGTCCTAGACATAACTGATGCCCACCAATCCAGTTGCATCCTTCTGTTTCAGAGCTAGCATAGATTTATTATGTGAGGGAGGAACTTTTTACCGTGGCAATTGATTTTGTTAAAGATTTTCTGTTTTCAGACTGCAGTCTTTAGTTGATCTTCCAACCCCTTGAAGCAATAACTTTAGAAAATATGTTTAATAATTATTTTGATTTTTGATTGAGTCGAATTTAATTAGTTTACTGAGTATGTTTAATATCATTAATTAGCCTTCGAAAACTCTTAATTTAGAGGAGGAAAGATAATTTTTGAAAGTATTATAAATTTAATTATCTTTTTTATTTCTAAAGAAAAGATAAGATTAAGATGGGGAACAACCAAAAGTTAAAAGGGTATTTATATTTATGAACTGAATGTTAATAATGGTGATGAATCTCTAATCTCACTCCTAAACAGAACACTAATGTAGTAATTGATCTTTTGAAATATAGTTTGATGGAGTTAATCCTGTTAGGAGGAAGACATAATGGTATAATAATATTAAAATAATGTTAATTTGTATGTCTTAATTATTAAAGTGTAATTTACAAAAAGTCTCTAAAATTCAGTTATAATTATAATTAGATTCATTGGTTCTTTAATAACTGTTTAGTCCTTTTATCATTTTACTTTTTAAAGAAATATATAATGATTATTGTTTTAGTTTTTATTTTTTATTATGTTATAGACTTATTATTATTTTTTTAGCTATATGAAAAACAAGTTTATTATCATTAAATATATATTAAACTATTATTTGATATTTAAATTTAAAAGACATATTTTTTTTTTATATTTTTCATTATTCTGTTTTATATTCTACGTAAGAGATAAACCTCAAACGCCAAAATTGTGTATAATTAATGAGAGAAAATTATAAAAAAGAAATATTATTTTTCTTATTTTACTTTTTCTTCCTTCCTGTCCCACACTGCACCAGACGTCCAAACTGCAGTTTCTTTGCGTTTCCATTTTAACCAGCATTGCTCCCTTTCACTGCCATTATCACTGACATTGACACAAACAAAGAAGAAGGAAATAGAAACCGAAGAGGAAAAATAATAATAATAATAATAATAAAGAGTTTTGATATTTCTTTTTCTGGGTCAGAAAAAACTGATATTTTCCTGCTCGAAAAAAGAAAATAGAGCTAAGAGATTACAAGAGAGGAAAAAAAGAAGAAGAAGAAGACAAAGCACTTCGCCACCTACACTTTTTTGCCCAATCCAAACAGTCTCTGCTTCACGACTTGAAGTGCGTTAAACCTTTTAGAGAATTCTTTCTGCTCTGTTTCTGTTTTATTTTATTTGTTTCCTTCTCCCGCAATTCCATGACTTTTCCTCATCTGGGTACACAACCATGCCTGTTTTAGAGGCACCCCATTTTGTAAGTGGCCCTCAAGATCCTTCCTCCGTCGCCGGGTTCAGTGACGTAGCACAGTCTGTGGCTGAATCTTCCGGCGAAATTGGCTCTGACAGGGAATCATCCTTGTCGGATTCCTTGTCAGAGGCAGATTTGGAGAGTGGGGACTTGGCTTTGAAGAAGCTGCATTTGGGTTGGGATTGCAGGATTTGCCATTTGGGTCCGGAGGGTGGGAGTGGCGGCGGCGGACATGATTGTAGGGAGCTTATTCAGTTGGGCTGCTCCTGCAAAGGGGATTTGGGTGCTGCTCACAAGAAATGTGCAGAGACTTGGTTCAAGATCAGGGGAAACATGTAAGTTGATAATTGTTTTCTCCTTTTTTTGAAGTTAAAACTGTCATCAGCCATGGATAACTGAATTTTGTGGTGCTTCTTATGAGGAACTACATATATTGATCTGGTGTCTAGATTCTTGGTGTCTGATAAAATTCATACATGTCTATTTGTTGTCTTTTCATCAGTTTCTGAGTTGATAAAATGATGGTGTCATGGGATACTTTACAAAATGTATTTGTCACCCTCCTAAAATTATAGGAGTATATCCTTTACTTTCTTCTTATTCTCTTTTTATTTGATTTATAATAAGAGAAATATGGAAGAGGAGTGTAAATACAGTGGATATGATTCTGCACTCAAGCCCTGCCTCGGATGAAGGTTTTGTTTGTTTACTGTGAATTATTGTCTTAGGCTATATAGTGAACAAATTCAGAATTTTTATAAAATTCATTCACAAATTTATAGTAACTCAACTAAATGATAAAAATACTGCATAAATAAAAATTCACTTCATAAAAATTTGTTTTTGTTGTTTTGTAATATAATTTCATTCTTTTAGTTGAACTAAGCGTAAATTTGTAAATAAATTTTGAAGAAAATACTTGATTTTTGCCAAACATAGTCTTAGTTGGAAAAGAATTAAAAGCATGTTAAATCGGATTTGATTTTAAGCCTCACTTCGGTCTTGGTAATAGAATCAATGCAAGTAAGATCCTGGCTTTGTGTCTTATTGGAGAAGGGGAACTGAAAAGAAATGGAAACTTTTGAGTTTGTTATCCTTGCTCCTGTAATAGTTTATTGTTTTGCTCTTTGATTTGACCAACTAAGACTATGTTAAAAATCAAGAGTTGTTGTAGAACTTAAGACAGTGAAAATCTCGTTTAAAAAAGATATAATTACCAAAGATTATGAAATTTGGAATTTATTATAGTTGAAATCCCCTATGATATTCAAATAGTCCTCTTAGTTTGAAATATATAAATTTTCAGATGAAGTCTACAGATATTCTTGATCTGTTCTTAACATAGTCTAGAAATTCTCTTGTTAGTACTTTGCGTTATCTTATGTTGGCTCTTCATATTTACAATCTGGATTTCATTTTCATCATCTGTAGAAGCTGTTTTCTTGGGACACAAAAGCTTTGGATCTTAAACATGGGACTGGGTAGGATGCTGAGAAATAGTAAATAAAGTTTTCGACTTTCGAATGGAAAGAAAGGTGTAAGTGGAAGACTGTATGATCGATGCATAATTGATCATACGTTCACCTTTATGCCAAAGTTGTTTCCTTTTATGCTTTTTTAGGAGTTGTGTATCGATGGGGCTTGCTAGATACTTGGATTTGTCTTCTGTAAAGAGCTTACTGCCCATTTCAGCCCTGCAAATGTAATGATGAAGATCCAAACACCATTTGTGGAAAGTGTATTCATTCGGTAAAACATAAAATTGTCTTGTAAACTGCACAAACCTATTAATTTTCATTCATGAAGAATCAATATCAGATTGATGCTTTAGAAAAGTATAAGATTTTTGGATATCCAGATGATCAGAAAATTTTTCATTTATCCCTCTTAGAACACATGCTTATTTGCGCCGACTGCTGGTGTTTACTGAGAATATCAGCGCAGGCATTCTACAGAGAGCTCTGAATTGTGTTTTGATCACACTGTTTGCGAAAACTTCTAATGAATGTATGTAAGAATCTTGAAAGTGCGTGTGCAAATGTATGTATATATATTGTTAATATACAAAAATTTCCTCATTTTATATCAGTTAGAGTTAAATGAATATCGTTACTCATAAGAAGAGAATCGCTCTCTATAAACTGGTGCTTTACCGGGTGAAAGTTTTAGTTACATATGACATGTATATGTATATTAGCAACGCTGACACATTAAGGCTTGTGATTTATTCCAGGACCTGCGAGATATGTGGTGCAACAGCAGTTAATGTTGCCGGAGAGCAGACAAACCAAACCAATATCAGTTTTGCTGCAACCCATTTGATACCTACAGGACCAATGATCCTCCTAGAAACCCGACCCTTCTGGCACGGTCGTCGGATTATAAATTTCTTACTGGCCTGCATGATCTTTGCCTTTGTAATTTCTTGGCTGTTTCATTTTAAAGTACTATCATGAATTCAGGACAAAATTTTTGGCATTTTCTCCTGAGAGTTTTTATGGGATGTGACTACCATCTTCTTGCTGTTTGTATTATTCCCTTACCCCCCCTTGCTCAACAACTTCCACTTGCATGTTACCTTAGTTGTAATAGATTATATATATATATATATACACACATTTATATAGGAAAAGCAGACATTTTCTTGAGGATGGTATGGCCTTTCTTTGAGGTTATCCCTGCAATGAGAAATTGGTAATTCCCTGTGGCTTGTATTTTATTTTTTGTTAAAAGAAATGAAAAAAATATACTCTTGACTTATAAAAAGATGCCAAACATGATAATTTTTAAACCTAGTTTAAACTATCAAGTTATGCCAAATATACCAAATTGAATATTAACATAATTCAGTCATTGCATTGCATCTTGAAGATTATTTTAAATAAATTTAAAAGAAATTAAAATAGAAATTGAAGTCATATATAATCGATATATATATATAATATTATTGCTCTAAGGGCAGAAAATTGAACTCCATACATAAAAATAATTTCAAAGATACCAAAGATCCATTAATAACAAACTACACATAATCAACCTGAATCAAATTTAAAGCAGAATCCCATGTAGTAAGCTTTACATTAAAAAGAAGACAAAAAGCCTTCATGTCAATCGGAGAATATATCAAATATCAATCACTGTCCGAGTCAATTTTCATTCCTTCGACGGGTTTGCTCGTCCTAAACTCGACAATAGCTTTCTCGAAAGTGCCTCTAACATGCTCGCATGTCTGCTTCAAATATACACATGAACCTTTCAACACCTCTCTTGCTGGTTCACCTACAAATTATGGGTAAAGAATGTAAAAAAAACCCATAATACATCACAAAATAATTTGAAAAGGCTATTGATTTCTAAGCATTAAGAATTATGAACTACTAACTCCGCAACCAAATATATGTCCGAGAAAGATTAATACTCCTTAAAACTCAATATCTGATTCATTACTAATACAATTAGGCTGCATCTGGTTAAATTGTCATTTAATTCGTAGCCAATTCCTAGTTCTCATTCTCGCATTAGTTTTAATATGTATAACAATAACAATTTTATAGTGTTTGGGTACCAATCATGCTATTTTAAACTAATAAATAATGAGAGTTGGATTCTTAGCTTCACAACCATACTTCAAGCAGAGATTACAAACTAATGACTGACCACAAACATCAAAATTTGCTTTCAATTGACATATTCATATCTTGAAATCATAGTACACGTAGCCACAAAGAAACTCTGTTGCATTGTGAAATTGGGACAATTGGAGAAAATAGTAGACTGGATGTGAGTTACCTGATGTTTGGACTCTAATGTTAACTCGAGCATCTGAAGGATGAGGGATACTGTATCCACAGAATTCTACTCTTGCACTGCAAAAATTCCATAGTGGCGTGCTTAAAGGTCAAAATACTGTTAACAAGCTCATTCTTGATATGAAGATCGAAAAGATTGAAAATCCGACGATGAAATAACGAAATACCATTTCAAAGAAGGTATAGTACAGTACTCTCATGCCCAAATTTTGGAGATGGAAATACAAAATGGTGCAGTGCAAAGAGGGTAAGACATTCAAAAAACCAAGAAAAGGAAATAGAAAGGTAGGTGTTTCAATTTCAAGTTCTATGTTACAACAAATTATTAACATTATGATCTTTCTCCTGCATTTACCCAAATTAAAGAAAATGTTAAAGCAATAGAGAAGGAATGAAATCACTTGAGGAATTTAGACAGTTTTCATGACATCCATATACATTTTAAAAAGAACACCCTTGGTGTAGACATTGATAGCAAATCAAAATATTTAAAAAAAAAAAAAAAAAACTTTAAAACAATTGATCCTAAATTAAAGTCACCCACTAAATAAAAACTTAAAAACTTCGTTTAATACATTGAAATATTATTTAGTTTTAATTTTCCAGATTTATATGTTTATGCATATTTTATAAAAACACTGCGGCGCATATATTTGTGAAGTAAGCAGGCACAAAAAGAAATAGTTCGATGAAAAAACCCTAAAAGCAACAATTTAACAATATCAAACTAATGTATCATTTTATAATAAATCTTCTCACTATTAAGTGACTCAGGATTTTCGCATATAAAGGCATAAATATAAGAAAATAAGTAGAAACTAACTCTTGATTAAGGGCGAATCTGAGAGCATTAGCAAGAGTATGATCCTCTCCCGTCAAAGAAAATGTTGCATGACCTTCTCTGGAAGATCCATGCTCCATTGCTGCTCTTTTATAGCTCTGCAACCAACAAAGAAAAAGCTTTCTCTGTAAATCGCGAAAATATCAAGTAGCCAATGCAAATATCAAAATCCAGTATCATAATCACCGGTTAGACGAAAAAACAAAAACACGAATAAATATGAAAACTCCGTGTTCTTTCTCCCTTTTAGCTCCCTTTATCGAATCAAAGCTTAAACCGAAGATTAAAAAATTTTAATCGCCAAATTTCAAATTAAGAGAAAAAGAAAACCCGTTTGCGTACAAATAGATGAAGAAAGTTAAAGAGAGAAAAAAAAAAAAAAAAAAAAAAAAAACAGATACTTGCCTGTCTGTAGCCGATAATTTCTGCGCTTCAATCTTAAGGCGCCAAAAAACCCAAAACCCTGAATTCGCCAGTCTAGGGCTCTAAACGGGACGCTGTATTTTTTAAATAACTTTTTTCCCAGAACTTCCTCTTACGTGGCACATTTTGATTGGTCGTTGACAAATTAGAATTCTCGTCTTTCCCGTTAGACGGTACCCTAAACCCTAATTCCCTCGTACAACATGTTAGTTTTGATTAATTGTAAATATTAATAACAATTTATATTCTAAATCAAATATATAAATTATTACAGATATTTATTATTTATAGTGATGATTTCTAAGTCTATACACACATTAATTTATTTTTTTATTTACGCTTTTAAATTAAATTTTTTATTGTATTAAAAATAATTAAAAATATTCCGTAACATTTAATATAAAAATTTCTTCAATAAAATATAATCATGTTCTCAGTTTGTTGTCGCGAAATTAATCCGCTATCGATAATACACATATTTTTGAAAAATAAAAAAATTAGGAAAACAAAATATTTAAAAATATTACAAATACCCATTTATTATTTAGGCTCATAAATAAATATATATATATATATATGTATGTATATATTGTATGGATAGTCTATAAAAATGGTATTCCATTGAAGTTCAGTGGGAGGGACGCGCATAATCGATGCCAACAGGCAACATACTCAAAAGTGGAGTGACGCACGACCAACACCACCAGTAGACGAGATACTTGTGAAGGCTTCGTATTTCCACTGAAGAGTCATGGGAAAACATACACCAACTTCAACCACTGCAGTTTTTACAATTAACCCTGTGGTGCTGCATGAACCTCAAGTTCCCAAATAAGGAAATTATGTGGGGAGTAAATACAAGAAAATATTAGAATGTAGTAATTAAAACACCATAAAAAAGTTATAAAAAAGAAACCCTATACATCATCTGTTTCAGTTTTTGTATTTTTTAGCATCCAAAGATGTGCCGTCTTTTAGAGTTTCCTTTGCATCGTATTCCATTCCGAGGCTGAAGAGTGCAGCCGCTTGAAGATAAAACGCAGTAGACCACTCCGGAGAAACCACTTGAGCTTGCATTGCATCTCCAAGAGCTTCCTGTGGCTTGTTACTCATTAAGTAACACAAGCAGCGTCTAGCAAACACTGTCGGAGATATCATGGTCCCACCATCAATGAACTAACAACACAACACAAGAACGGAGATCATAAGAAATATAATATTGTCAAGTTTTAGATATCTGTTAAAATGGGTAACTCAAGTAGTTTATGCCGAAAAAAATAGATTTGCTTAGGCTGTGTCTTCTTCCTTTTTCTGGCCTCAACTCTCTTCTCCTTACCGGGAAACCATCTTCCTATCTTTTTACTTTTAAGAAAAAAATGTTCTATCAAGTTTTCCTACCAGGGAATCTTATGCTGCTTCAAAATTGATATCTCACTTCTGTTTTTCTATATATTCAACATGTAATTTAGTTGCTATTCCAATTATGATAACATTCTTTGCCCGGAAATCATGCTACTTTAGGCAACGACTTACATGTGTATAACATTCAATAGCAGTGGCAAAGTCTTTGGCTCGAAAAGCAGCATCTCCACGCTTCTTAGAATTCAGAGTCTCCTGGATTTGATCTGTCCACATTTGGAAAGAAAGCTGCAATGGAAAAAATTGACTCAGCAATAACCAGTCGTGCAAATCAACTTAATACTTTTAAGAATATTTTTCTAAATGATGTAAGAATCAAGGTCGATCTACTTGCTATGGTAAAACAGGATTGCGCAGTTAAAATCGTTGGCCTTCATTTTTTTTTTTATACATAGACCACCTACAAGAAGGCACTAATATTTGTTTGCAAAAGGAGACTAAATGCCTTCCTCTCACCAAACCTCCCCCTAACTTTGTCTTTTCTTTTCTTGTTTTCACCATTCCGATGCAAGTTTGAAGAAGGGCAAGATTGAAGTAAACAGAGATAGAAATTACTGACCTCATTTGCAATTCCTTCATCATCCTTGTAACCAAGTCTCTCCAACAATTCATGTATTGCAGTAAGATCCATTTTAGAGCATGCTTCACCTAAAGGTGTTAACGATACTGTTTCATTTGGAGGCGGACTTCCCATCAGAAGTATATTTGACGGGACCTGCTTAATCATCAAGTAAATCAATATATATGTGTCCTTAAAGTAGTTGCACTACCACATACTATCCTCGGATTTTCAAGTATTGAAACTGTTTCAAATACACGGCATGCAATTGAAAGAAGACCTCGGTTTCTCCCAATTTTATAAAATGGATTCCTATGATGTTCTTACAGGGGTTGAGGGAGTAAACATGTAGGCATACCTCGGTTTCTTTCTGAAGAGTAGTCAGAGCAGTAACAAGGGATTTCGCATTGGGCCTTTCACGAGGCTCGTATTGCAAACAGCGAGAAGCTAATCGAACTAACTCAGTTCCATCATTATTTGAAAAATGACCTTCCAAACATGAGTCAATCAGCATCAGATAATTCTTCCCACGAATCAGATCAAGTGCCTGTCAAAGAAATAAGTATTTACCTCCGTATTTTCCAGCATAATCCAGCTACAGCATATCATTGTTCTACACAAAATATTTGATAAAATCCCCAGAGAAATCTTACATGACTAGGTGGTATATGTTTTCCACTGAGAAGATCAAGCAATAAGGTGCCAAAGCTGTAAAGCACGCTCTCCGGTATCACTCTTCCTGCGAAGCAATGGTGACACGTATGGCATCGGTAAAGAATCACATGTACAGACATCATGCATCTCGAGCGAAAAAAAGCAGATAACTTTTACAGATTTAGACTTCTTTCATTTCTATTTTCTGAATAATAAACACCTAAATTGCTGGCTTTCTAATCCAGCTAAGTAAAATTGAATAAGTAAATTTGCAGCCTGCCAACGGAATGGTAGTTGCCTGTTCGTAAGTACTCTGGTGGTGTGAAAGCCAAGTTTGTGCTATAACTCTTGCCATCTCTACTATTCTTCATGAGGCCAAAGCAAGAGAGCCTTGGATTACAATCCTGAAAAGCCATAAATCACAACTAAAGAAGCAGCCTATAAAGGATATTCAACTTTTCGGTAACAGCAGACCTCACAAATTAAAAAATACCTCATCAAACAACACTCTGTATGCATTAAGATCATGATACAATGCTCTTCCTTTACTGCTGCAATAATCCAGAGCTTGTGCTAAATACAACGCCACCCTCAGCCTCATTGCCCATTTCATGGGCTGAGTCTCCCCTGAAACATGTCAATCAATACGAGGTACACCTATCAATACATTTTCGGGTTCTTACGTACCTTTATAGCAATATATATCGATCAAATACATACACAAACGCACACACAACAGACGAAGAGACAATCTTTATCAACTAGTTTTTCTAAAAGAAGATCAAAGAAAATAAGGTAATTGATTTTTTTGTTTGCCCACAAAAATTCCTGGTAACAGATTTTAGCTCTTTGACATGAATATGGAAAAATGAAAGAAAACATATTGACATTTTAAAATCCTTGTCCTTTCCGCTATAAACAAAACCCAAAACAAACAAACAAAGGCATCATTTAATGATAAAGGAGGAAATGAAGGAAACCAAACAGGATTTAAAGGGAGAACAGCACTGAAAACTTTACAGTGAAAAAGATGCTTAGATAGAGTCTCGTTTGGCATGAATTCAGCCACAAGCAGTCGCTCATCTTCTTCACAGCAACATCCTATCAGATTCGCCAACCTCTCGCTCCTTAACTGGCCCACAGCTCTGGCTTCTTCCTGATAAACCCAGCAAAACCGCCATTAATTAATCAACCGGCAACGTTAATAGTTTTCTTTTAATAAAAAAGAAAAGGAAGCACGACAAACGTGTGGATAGCATTAATAGCTATGAGAAATAAATGAAAGCTATGAGAAATAAATGAAATTTAAATGAAATATAATTGAGAAGTCAAAGAGAGTCTAAAGATAACAGACGAGGAATTGACGAGAGTCGGGCCAAGCGAATCTGTTGAAGCGTTTAATGGCGACTAATCGATAGTCATCGAGCCTGCCTCTGTAAACAACGTTGGGAGCCTTTTCTCCGTGCTCCGACACGATGTTGTCGGAAGAGAAACCTGAGGTGGCGGCTCGAAGTTGGTCCAGGCTGAACTCAACAAACCCAGGAGTTGACTCAGCTCCATTCTCTGAGAACCCAGAAGAAAGAATGAGAGACCCCGATAAGCTCCTTACGAAGCAGAGCAAAAGAGAGAGGAAAGCAGTAGAATTTCTCGGAAAACAAACAGAAAATCTTACCGAGATCAGATGCGTCATTGATGTTTGATTTGAGATCAGAGGGCCACCAGCAGAATGACAATTTGGAGCAGCGAGCTCCCATTGGCCTACGATTCTAGCGAGAGAAAAACGCGCTAAAAGCTAAGTAAAACTCTCTTCCTCTCGCTCTATCTCAAGAAAGTTTACTTTCACTTTCTATCACTTTCTGGAGAGAATCAGAGAGCGGGAGGTGGGCGTTTTGAGGAGGCACAAAAGCGTGAGAAACGAGTGAGAAAGTTATAAAGCAGCTAAAAGCGCATTGTTTGGTTAGCGAGAAACCATGAGAGAAAAAAAAAAAAAGAAAGAAACAACTTTATGGATCCAAAAGCTTTCTCTCTCACAATTTTCACCACCTCATCATTCTCTCCTTCCTCCCCCTGCAAAATTCCTTTCTTTTCTTTTCTTTTTCTTTTTCTTTTCTTTCTACACTTTTCAAGTCAAAATTTTTATGTCTTTTCCTTCCCAGACAACGCCAAACAAATCCCACTCTCACATCTTCCGCGTGTGGTGCACGAAACAACCTTGACACCGCACGCGCGTTCATCGAGCGTGGTGAAGGATACCTTTGGACGGTTTTTAATATTTTTTTCCCGGCAATAAAATGAAAAAATCGGCGAGTAATCGTTGGGGGGCTCGTCAAATCCTCGTGACGTCGGTCAAAGTCAACAAACATTTCGATGGCATGGCAAGACTATATTAGTTTAGGTAATGCTGCATTAATTTTCTGTGACGTCCTTATCATAATATCCTGTTTATATCCGCTTATCCTTAAATAATTAAAATTTACTTTTATATTTATTATCAATTCTGAATTATGAGCATAATAATAATAATGTGAGTTGAGAGGAAGAAAAGATGTGGCACCTCCAACTCACAATTGGGGAGCATCATGGTGATGGATTATAAAGGTAAAAAGATATTCGTTTACTTTTGTATTAATATGATAATATATGGATGGATGGATGATTTGATATCCATTCTATATATAATTGGTGGTTAATATTCTCTCTTTGATTTTTACTATGGTAAAATATAAATTTTAAAAATTAAGTGTAATTTTAATATTAATTAAACCACTGACTAAAATAAAATAGTAAGAGACATAATAAACTACGTTTTATTGAATAATGTAATGGTTCCAGAAATTAAAAAAATGTATATATTTATTCTCAATGCGGAAGCGAAATAAAATAGATTATGATTAACATCCCTTACACAATAATCAAAACGTATTAAAGATATGAAAAGATAAACTAACTAAAGGAAATACTATGAATGAATACTATAAGGAAAACTAATAAATCTTTAAGCTTCTACTCGCCGTCTTCTTGCGGAACGGGTTTGGGAACCAAGTCATCTTGATCTAAAATGGTTAAGTAAGGAATGAGTTACACTACACTAGTAAAGATGTCACAGAAGTAAATGTTGGTAGAAAACAAAAACGACCAATGGAGTATAATTTATAACAAATTCATTTATCAATAATAAAATATTTTACTGTTCATTTATCTCGGTAAAATTCATGAAAATAACTTATGAAAACAATAACATTATAAACATCATAAGATTATGCACACTCTGTAACATAACACATATCATACTTTTGTATTTCAATCATCAGGCAACAAATTTTATCTTTTATCAGCCTACTAGTATCCATGGGGATCCATAGGGGTCCCTGCTACACGTGAACCATTCACCTTAATTTCAGGGCCGTCCTCATACCCCGTACGGTATGAACGACAAAACTATAAACCTCAATACCCCTTCCAGTATGAAGGTGAAGCGGGCCGTCCCCATACCTCGTCCGGTATGAGTGTCAAAACATTTAAAGTCTCCATACCCCGTCCGATATGAGAGATCACGTTCCCGGTAGGGTTCCATATGGACCCGATCCGTCCACCATCTCCCACGATATCTAGTGAGGCTGTTGACTTATCCGTTCATAAATTCACTTACCATCCTTATTTTTCTTAGTCTCAATTACCCAATCAACATAAATACGTAAACTAGTAACGCATACCAAACAAGACAACACAATATCAGGTTCACAATAATTCAAACCATAATAAATTAAACAGTGATTTATGCATACGTAACCACAGAATAAACAATCAAATATTATAGTGCATTTAGACTGTAAAATATATCAAATAGGAACAAACCGACAAATACATCAAGTTCAGGCTCCATTAGCAATCTTAATTAATTATACATATCTATTAATTCATAAAATACCGTTTAATCATTTATTAAACTTTAATACCGTGATAGGAAATAGGGTGAGGGATCCTTATTTATTTCGGAGTCTGAAATCGGGTTCTCACTGCGCCTACGGGCAGTCCCTAGATTCCCTGAATTTTTTTTCGAAAATTGAAACACACTTTTGGTACCTGCACATATCCCAAAAAAATCCCAAATCAGATCTAGGGCCTATTTGGCCAATTTCGGAATTCCAGCGTGGCAGCTTCGCCGTGCTCTGGTAACGCGCGAGTCGCGATTTGGTGTTTTGCTCCGGTCAACCTGTAGAGGAAAGGACGGTGGTCACAGTGGTATAAAAATTACATCGAACAGGAAACGGGAAAGACCTCATCGGAGGTAAAAATCGAGGAAACCCGCGGCGACGCCATTTGGCTCCGATTTGGCCACAGGTGGGTTCAACATCGAAAACCGAGCTAAGGGGAGAAATTTTACCTCGTTTGGCAGCCGGTGCGGCGGCGGGTAGCGGCAGTCGGTTCCTCCGGTGGCTGGGTTGTCTTCTCCGACGAGGGTTCTGGCAGCTAGGGTTTGGGGTTAGATGTGAATGAGATTATTTATAACTTTCCCTTTTTAATCTGAGTCGTCCATCACGATTTAATCTAGATCGTCCAATCGCGATTAAATTGAAAATAAATTCGGGTCGTCCATCGCGATACAATCTGGGCTGTCCGTGCGTGATCAAATCTAGGTCGTCCGCACGCTGCAATCTGGGATGTCCGTGCGCGCGTTTGATCTGGGTCGTCCGTGCATGCGGGAACGGATCTCAGCCGTTCGATCGTGCGCACGCGGATCGCCACGTGGCCCATTCCGCGTGGCCTTCCCACGTCAGTGTTTCTGCCACACGGCGTGTCCTGGTTGGCCGGAGCTGCTGACCGGGCTGCGACGTGACGTAATTTTTTTAAATTACGTTTTGATTCCCGATTTTTGATTTTCTTTTCAAAAACACTCTTAAAATCTAAATTTTCACATCTTTTTTTCAAAATTATTGTCAATTAAATCCAAAAAATAATTTTACCTATTTTTATCATTATTATTATTTTTATCTCTATTTAATTAAATTAAAATTATATAATTATTAATTAATAAATTAATTATTAAGATAAAATAAAATCAAAATAATTCTAATAATAATAAAAAAAAAAAATTTAGGGTGTTACAAATAATATATTTCGGTTCATCGACTGACAAACTTAGTATATCTATCTATTCTAACATTTATTTATTTTAATTTTGACATAAATGTAAAATGCATATAAACGGTTATAAAAATAATAAGATATTTTTTACTTTCTTTAAATATCAACAACATTTTTTTATCCACCAACTTTCCTATTTTGGAGAAGTTTATGGAAAGGGTTTTTGTGCGTGCAAATATCTAACATTATACCTACGTGAATTCTTTAGAAAATAAAAATATTTTAACGGTACTTCTTAAATTATGTTAGGAAATATTTATGAAAAAAAATAAAAATAAAAGCTGTTTCTTAGGGCCCATTCCCAACCAAATGTCTATAAATTACCAAACATTTTCATTTTCTTCTGCTCCGAATATAATTATAAACTATTATTATTATTGGAGCGATAATTAAACTAAAAAGAACAAGTTGGGAATAAAGATCTTTTAAATTCATATTTTTGAATAAAATTTATAATTTTATCGTTCAAGTTTATATATAACAATTTTATTTATTAATTTATGTAATAATAATAATAAAAAAAAGATTTATAACTCAAATTTGGTCGATTTTAAATATTTTTTTTGTATATTATAAATTTAAATATGTACATACGTGTTATTTAAAAAATTATTAATTTTGTTAAATAATTGAAAAAAAAATTGAAGTTAAAATAGAACCAAATGATAGAGATAAACATGTATTTCACTAATTTTTTTTTTTTTTTTTAAAAAAATGAAATATGAATGATAATAGTCTTGTGCAGGACATGGGTAACATGATTAAGAAAAGGATTGAATTAGAGGACCAGTTCTACTTGACCACCAACTTTTTCCAGCTATAAATTTCATACATCTGACCCAAATTCATAATTCATACTGACCCTTTATAATTAGTAAAGCTAATATATATATATATATATATATTAAGCTAAACATTGGTTAATAACAATAGTAATTAAAAAAATTATTGAGCAGAGACACAGAAAATCTTATCAAGGATCTGTTTGGGAACTTTCCAACATGGATTAAAAAAGAGGTTCTTGAATTTAGGGAGCATGGGGAGCAAAGATTAGCCCCCTTTTCCCCCCCCATGATTAATTATTAAGATTAATTAGCTCCAGTACTCATTTGAATCATAAGGCCATTGGTTTATGGACCACTTGAATAACATGCTGTAGGATTTTTATTACATTATTAATCTTAAAAGATTGATTAAAAAGTTGATTAAAAGGAGGATTTAGTTAATCTCTTTATTTTTTTAAGTGTAAATGATTCAAAGTTATTAACTTATTAATCACGTTCAATTATGATAGTTTGGACATCACCTCTGTTAAAAGCATGATGCAGATGTGAAAATAAAAGTATAGAATATATAACCTAATGTATTTTGTAGTAATTTTAAGAAAAAAAAAATATGAAGAGTTAAATCAAAGAAAGGAATATATTTCCTAGAGCATTATGGAAGTAGAATGGACGGACTGTCAAAGAGGAAACAAAAAAACCCTAAACTAGGAATATTCATGTCTAACAAGATCCTAGAAAGAGAATCATCAGAAGATAGCTGCCAGGCTTTTGTAACTCCTGTTGTCTCACACAGAACCTAAAAGAAATTCATGCAGATGATACAATAGAAACCCTTGTTTTGAAT